TTGAACTTTTTAAACAGAGACGGTAACCGACCCAAAAACTGCTGCTGAAACTGAACTACTGACGAGAAAACTAATAGCCAATCTCTATCTCTACCTTAATACTTTTTTTTAGATAAAGGATAGTTCATATCCGGCTTCATCTATCTATCGATAGAATGAGGCCAATTATTACAAAGTTTTGCCCGTAGGCTAGCACGCGAGCTGTAAAGAGTCTCCAACTTACAGCCAAACACACGAATGAACAAAACGAAATAGAAGTCTTGACTAAATGAGACAAAAATATCTATTTGACAACCACCCATTGGAGCCAAAGAAATGCAAGACCGACGTCTCTAGATGCTGCCCTGCTAGGATCAGCTGGTCCCGTCAATCATCACACCGCTGCAATCTTGCCCATTGCCGGAGCCAGTGAGTTCCCCTGAAAAGAAACTGCAAAAGAGATTTTGATCTACATTTGTCAAAAACCACCTCGTTTCTCGTTATCCAAACTGCCCAATATAAAGCCAATGCTGCTGTTAATAACAATGAATTATGATCGTTACTGGCCATCTTTGACCACCTATTAAATAGGTCATCTATGCTTTGGGGGCGATATTCCAAACAGTAGATGAACAGCGCGCCACAAGAATTTAGCATAAAGACAATCCAAAAAAAGGTGTTGAATGGTTTCAGGAGAGTGACAAAAGCTGCACCTCGTGTCACCATTCCAGTTTCGCCGGGCAAGGTTGTTCTTAGTTAAAATCACACCCTTTTTAGGTACCACAAAAATATTTTTATTCTCGTAGGAACTTTAATGTGTCATAAGTCTTGTGACACTCTCACCCCATTGTTAATCAACGCAGCATACATGAATTTGACAGAAAAACTTCCTGATGAATGTAGCGCCCAAACAAAAGCATCCATTTCCTCTTGTAAGTTTACATCGTGTAAAGAAACAGCAATTCTGTGCCAATCCCTTAGGTTCGTACCCACTAAATTTCGGCGAAAACAAATATTTAGTGGGGATGAACTAAGAACCTGTGCCACAGAATCTTGTTTTCTTCTTACAATATTAAACAACGCAGGAAATGTATCTTTAAGAGGTTTATTTCCCAACCAAGTGTCTACCCAAAACCGGGTTTGCGACCCGTCTTTCACCTTGAACGAACCAAAGCCCATAAAGGTGTCTTTGACATTCATCAAGCTTTTCCAGAAATGAGAGTCCGCTGATTTTTTGACACAACTCCCTAGAGTCTTATCTTTTATATATTTATTCCTCAAAAGTTCGTGCCACATGCCATCCTCATTCAATAATTTAAAAAGCCATTTACTCAACAAGGACTTGTTTTGTATATCCAAATTCTGTATACCTAAACCACCCTGAATTTTTGGTTGACACAAAATTTTCCATTTGGCTAATCTATATTTCCGCTTGTGTTGGTCGTTTTGCCAATAGAATCTTGATCTAAAACAGTCAATTTTTTCTAACACCTCTTGGGAGTTCGAAGAAAGACATCATAAACATCGGTAAACTAGAAAGCACCGAGTTTATTAAGACCAAACGACCTCCAACCGAAAGCATTTTACCTTTCCACCCACTAAGCCTCTTTTCAATTCTGTTCTTAATCGTTTGCCAATCTTTATTGTTTAGTTTCCTAGTGTTCATAGGTAAGCCAAGGTAACGAAAGGGGTACTCCCCAATCTCACATCCAAACAGCTGCGAATAAAACACTTCATGGTCTTTAGCTTTACCCAAACAAAAGATTTCACTTTTGTGGAAGTTTATCTTAAGCCCCGATAGTTGTTCGAAAGTGCTAAGTATTAGTTTCATATCTATCGCCTTCCCAACATCATGGCTCATAAAAATCACCGTGTCATCCGCATACTGGAGGATAGACAGACCATCTTGAATAAGATGAGGGATAACCCCTTCAACTTGACCTGCTTCCTTTGCTCTAGCAACCAGTATGGCCAGCATGTCCGCCACTATATTAAATAGTATTGGCGACATTGGGTCACCCTGCCGTAAGCCTTTTCTTGTTTGGAAGTAGGATCCTAGTTGGTCATTAACCTTAATATTAACATTGCCACCCTACATGAATTGTTCCACCCATGAGCACCATTTGTGTGAAAACCCTTTCATCCTTAGAGTTTGTTGTAGAAAACTCTATTTTACCTTATAATATGCCTTTTCAAAATCAATTTTGAAAATAACCCCATCCTGTTTTTTCGAATGAAGTTCATGTATCGTCTCATGGAGTATTACGGCGTCCTCCATAATATTTCTACCTGGGAGAAAGGCTGTTTGTGTTGGTCTAATAATCTTCTGAGCTATGGTAGATAATCTATTGGTTGCAACTTTGGTGAAGATTTTGAAAGACATTCAACAAACATATTGGCCTGTATTGTTGAATCACTTTCGCATCCTTCTTTTTGGGTAACAAAATTATGGTTCCAAAGTTAAGGCTATTTAGTGGCAAGGAACCCTGATGAAATTCCGTAAACAAAGCCATCAGGTCATCTTTTATTAAAGTCCAGAAGACCTGATAAAACTCTGGAGGGAAACCATCTGGTCTAGGTGTCTTATTATGTTCCATTTGGAAGATCGCAGCCCTCACCTCATCTTCTGAAAAATCATCTGTCAAATACTCATTTTCCATAGCAGATACCTGTGGAATGTCCTCTGTCTGTAACTCATCCAACATGATGGGAGAGTTCTCCGATGGACCAAACAGGTTCTTATAATAATTGGTGATATGCATTTTGAGTTGAGCATCACCACTTATTATATTATTCCCATCCTCCAACTGGAAAATATGAGTTTTTCGATGTCTACCGTTTGCTAACAGGTGATAGTATTTTGTATTTGCATCACCCTCTAGAAGATCTTTCACTTTAGCCCTTTGGTACCATTTAAGATCTTCCTCTCGAAGTAATTGAGCAAGCCTATCATTTAACACACGTTTTAGATTAAATTCCATTTCACTAAGCATAGAAGTTTCTGCCTTTTTATCCAATTCGTCGAGTTTATTTAGAAGTGTCATTTTTTCTTTCTTGTAAGCACCACTTACATTTTTTGCCCATCCTCTGAGGTATTGGCATAGCCTTCTGATCTTAGCTTGCCACCTCTCTAAAAGAGTGCCTTCGATTAATACGCTATGCCACACGTCTCGTACCATGTCACAAAATTCATCTCTCAGCAACCACCCCAATTCAAATTTAAATTGGGGTTGATAAGATGAAGATGGATTATTTGTGCAAAAAAATAGCGGAGTGTGATCAGAAATCTCTCTAGACAGTGCATGTACAGTAGTATACGGATACTTGGACTCAAAATCTGTACAAACCAGGATCCTATCTAATTTTTCGAAGGTCTGATTTTGTAAATGATTAGCCCAAGTAAACTTTCTTCCTGGCATTTCTATTTCTCTAAGATTTAGAGTGTCAATCACGGCATTGAACATGAAAGGCCATTTATTATTGTAGTTGTCATTATTTTTCTCATCCGGTCTACGAATAATATTAAAATCGCCACCTATAACAATAGGTAGAGCTTCTTTTGAACATACTCGCACAACTTCGGATAAGAAATTTGATTTGTGATCTAGTTGCGCCGGCCCATAAACTGAAATCAAATTAAACTTAAAATCATCTTCTTTGTGAAGTACTTTGAAACGAATAAAAAATCCCCTTCTTCGATTTCACGAATGTCAAAAGTAAACAAGTTGATACCTAGAATCATGCCACGAGACCAACCCCGTGGAGCCATACAATGCCAAAGAAAATCTCTGCCAGCGCAAATATTATTCAAAGTGGATTGCGGAAAGTTGGTTCTACCGGTCTCTGATAAAGCAATAAAATCTAAGTTCTTTTCTTTTGTTAGGTCAGAAAGAAATCTATATTTTTTTAGTATCAGCAAACCCGTTGCAATTCTAAAAAATACCTTTCATCTAGACTTGTTTTTAAAATTTTTCTTATATCTAAAGCGTGTCCTTTTGTTTTGTGATACAGGGGTCTGTAGACACAAATGGTCACAGCCCCATCACCTAGCCCTTCAGAGATTTCTGAACAAATTAGATTTAAAGCTTCTAGGTCTATGTTATCTTCTGTAGAACATACAGTCGAGACATCATCCAACAAAATTTTGTTTCCCTCCACTAACATGTCATTCTCATTCATTCTATGAAATTCTAGATCTCTTAAAGACTTTAAAGAATGCGACACTGCTTGTTCATTATCCCCAAGAACAACCCCTAACGAATTAGTTGTAGCTAACAAAATAGAATCATCGAGAGTATGAAAAGAGTTTGGCCGAGTTCCTTTACCTTTGCCTGGAGAGGAATCCAAGTTTTTGCGTGCTTTCAATTTCGTTGCCTTCTCCAAAGAGTCTTGGTCCGCAGTTGTCGTATTCCTTTTGCTTGATCTCATAGGTGACACTGTCCCACCATTTTGCACTATCATTTTATTGAGAAGACCAGAGTCATTCAGAGTAGTGATCAAATTAGCCTTCCATTGGCCAGTACCATTTGCTACCATCCCACTCTGAGTAAGCACTATCACTGGTTTATTACTAAATTTGCAAAATTTCTGGTCTCTTTAATTTTTGTCCAGCCTAATCAAAGTGTTCCGTCTCCTACTTGCTACCGCTCTCCGCCTCTCCTATCTACCCTGCGCGCTGCGACACCGAGTCCGAACCAACCCGTTGTTTTTCTGACACCTATCAGACTTCTCCCCCAACATGTTTATCCTCTCGTCGAGTCCGTTTCCAGTTACAGGAAAAGTACTAATCTACGTGCACGGACCAAAATCGAGGCCATCACGGACCAAAATCGGACCACGATTTAACTTAAATCGGACACCAACCAGACTATAAATACAAGCCATCGACGCCGCAACTCATCAAATCAAATTCACAAAATCAAGATAAAATCGTTTCTTCAGCCGACCTCCACAGCAATCACAAAAAATCAACAAAAATCGATTACAAAATCAGAGAAAGAAAATCGAATCGACGAAATCAGATGGGGTCACGCCTTCGGGGCGCTCGCGTCGCCGCCTCTGCGCTCGCCGGCCAGGGTGCCCGCCAGGTCTTCCATGCGCCAGGTGTGCCTGCGCCGCTAGCCATGTGCCTGGCCGCGCGGAGGCCTCCGAGCCCCCGCGAATCCGGCTCACAGAGTAGATGGCGACGAGTTAGGGTTGGAAGCAGAGAGAGGAGAGGGTGGCGGGCTCCCGAGGGAGCTGGCGACAGGCGGCGCGAGCGGCGCAAGGGAGACGGGCGGCCCGCCGAGATGCGTCGCGAGGCGAGCGGGCACTGCGGGAGACGGGCGTGCGGCGCGTCCGTGGCCTCTTTCTTGCGTGTGGGCTGTGGTTGGAGGCAGGGACAGGATAAGGTGGAGCGGTGCAGTGCCTTGGTGGTGGCCTGCTGTTGTACGAGAGAATAAAAGATAGAGAGAGATAATAGAAAACAAAATATAATTACGTTTGTAAAAAGAAAAAGTATTGTAAACACTCATTTTTTCATAATAACTAGAAAAGGATGTTTTACCAAACGCTTTTGTCGGTGTGAAATATGACCGACAAGTAAATATTTATAGTTTTATCGTGCGTTGTGGTCGGATTTGGCGTAGCATTCAATGACACATGATTTATACTAGTTCAGACAACGAGTCCTACGTCTAGTTGAGGTCGGTCGACGACTTTATTCCTGAGTCCAGGTGCTATAGGCTTGCTGTAGGGTTACAAACGAATAAGAAATGAGAAGTGAGTGTTAGAGACCCAATCGAACTCTGAACCGAGTGGCCGAGGGTGACGGAGGCTCTAACGTATGCTAAGTATTGGAGTGTGCTCTGTGTGTCTTCTAAAGCTTGTTGAGCTGTTGTGTTCTCGAGTTGTCGAGAGAGAGAGCCTCGTTTTTCAATAGAGAGTGCATCCCCTTTTATAGTTGAAAGGGATGGCCTTACAAGTTAGAGAGAAAGAGAGAAAGTGTATACCTGTGCTGCCTAGTCTTGTTGCTCACGCCATCGGGTACGGGATGGCTGTCAGCGCCCACAATACTGTTTATGCCCAGAAGCGTCTGGCAGGCTCAACCGTGTTCGCCTGGTACGTCAACGCCCACAACACTGTTTGTGGTCTGACGCGTCTGGAAGGTTGTATAGTGTCCGTCTGTCATGACCTGGAGGCACCGTCTTGCAGGTGCGTAGGGTATGACATGGTACGGTCCTCGGTATTACGGTTGACTTGAGCGCCTTACCTTATCTGCTCCGTCTGCTCCCCAGGCCCACACCGAGCGGGGCGTCCCCGGTCGGTCGTTCCTAGTCGTCCCCGACCATGTCGGTCGGGAAAGAGTAGCGAGCAGAGGTCTGGCGTATCCTTGTCAAAGAAAGAGATCGGGCGAGGCGGAGCCCGCGACCCAGAGGTCGAGTGAGCGCGGGGCCTGCCCCCAGAGGTCGGAGGTGCCGGTCGAGGACTGGATCATGGTCTTGGCCTATTATTGTGTATCTGGGCTGGCCCAGGCATGTGATGTCGTTGCGCTGTCTGCTGGACCGAGTTTTGTAGGAAAGCGGGTCCATTGAGAACCCTAGGTTTATGAACCAGACAGCTTTTATAACCCGTGAAACTAGAGCCACAAAAAAAGTATTTCACCAGATACGTTTAAGATGGAGCTGTTTTGAGTAAAGCTGGAGTTTTGTCGGGCACGCCCTTAGCGTTCGTCGACAAGAGAGACGGCCACGGTCTCTGCACCCGTTGTTTTGCCCGCACAACTAGCGTCGTGCGATCACCGTCCATCCCTCCCAGGACTAGCGAAGCTCCCCGAGTTTGCGTTGTTCACGACCAACTCTGGCTCTTCTCCGGCAGCTCCTGCTTTCGGCTAGCTGTCTGGCTCTACGGAGAGGAACACGAACACGAGAAAGAAGATCCAGAAAAATGATGAGAAAACGTATGCGAATCAAGAGGCACGACTGCCTAGGTTCTTTACAAGAGCAAACTCAATAATAAATCAAGTGCTTAGCTTAAGTCAAGTTGTAAGAGTTAAAGCTATCTATCAGCGTGGCACACTTTGGGTCTCTTTGATTGAAACCTATCAGACGATATTTGTCCACACAAGCAACCCTGGCCATAGACAACCAAATTGGACGCATGGGAGCCATGGCTGGCCAGGCCAGTTTCCGAAGCTTTAAACAAATACGTTGTGTGTGTGAAAAACAAGTTGTGAGTAAAATAAGTTGGCTAAACTGCTCAATTCATCACTACACTTGATTAGTTAATTTTTAATAGAAGTAAAAATCCATAACAACGCATAGTTATACTAGCTATTTTCTAATTTTAAAGTTAAAAATAGTTTCCATGATCCTATGTTTTTTAAGCCTGTACAAGTTAAAGCAGTGCGACCGAAATATAACCTTAAGATCAACTGAGAAACATGACATAATAATTAATTTCTGAGCCTCTCATATTCAATGCATTAAGCCTCTACAAGTTAAAGCAGCGTGACCCAAATATAATCTTAAGATCAATTGAGAAACATGACATAATAATTAATCTCTGAGCCTCTCATATTCAATGCGTTAGAACAATGTGTGTCAAGGCATGATATAAAGTCTCGTTTCAAGATGCTGGAACACATAACATGACCGTTGAATTTTCGAACTACAAATCATTCACTTATAGATCCTAAACTTTTATGCTAGCGACAACAAATTAACAATAGCTACCAGCCAATTAAAAACAGGCCTGCGGCCTGCCTAACTGATGGGCTGGACGCCTGGCCGGCTAAAAGGCCCATGCGCCCCCAACTCAACCAGAAGCAGCGACCACCTCCCCTGTCCGCAGCAATCTTCAACGGTTTTTTTTATTAGCAACATTACAATTTTCGGTTATCGGAGATATACCATTATAATTCGACTAATTCAAATAATACCATTACAATTGTGCGATACTCGGACCAACACCATGGGATACGCCAATGACGTCTTAGGGGCCACTGCGCACGTATAAGTCGCCTCCAGATTTATGTATGACACCCATGCCCTTGGGTCATTTGGATAAGGTGCCTCCGTATCCCACCCAGTGGACCGCTTCTCTTCCTCCTCACGCCTGTCTCCTCTCACTCACCCTCACCTGCACAACGGTGGCGGCGGCGGATTTGCGGCGACCGCCTTCCGGTGGCATAGATCATGCGACCGAAAGCACCCGGCTTATGCGTGCGTCTTGCGATGCACCCTATTGCGCGCAATGGGTGAGAGACGCAACCATGCAGCAACACGGCGGAGATGGCGGACGACGAGGGCGGGTATTTATCCTCTGCCTCTTTTTCTTCCCTCTATAGTGAATGAGCTCGTCCCCGGTAGATTTCGTTGAGGCTATTGATAGGGATTTATTGGATTTGGGGTTGATTTTGTTTGTTGCTAGGGTTTCGTTGTTCTCGCTAGTGATGAAAGTAGAAGGATTCTGTACCAGAAACAACACTGGTAGAAAAGCATACACAAAGGGACGCTTGATTAAGTGGGATGTTGAAATAGCTTCATTTTCCTTCTATTTGTTGTTGACAAGTCTGCGCAATGAGTTCCAGTGGTCCAGTAGCCAGTCTCCTAGTGTGTGGTTCTTTGACAAAAGTCTATGTGAAGATGTGAGAATAGAAAATGATTTTCAGATGCATGACTTGTTTGAAATATATAAGGATCAGATGCGCTGTGAAGTTCTTGTGTTTGACAGTTGTCTTAGATAGTCTGATGAGTTTACAAACCTAGACCCAATATGTGTGATTCCACCTGAGTTTTCTATTCACTAAGCAACCCCAAAGAGTAAAGACATTCCACCGGGGGATGGGAATACCATCACCACTGATGACAACCATGCAATGACCTTCTCCGATAATGATGAGTATCCATTAGAGCATGAGCCCCGACAGAACCTGACATGTTTGACAATGATGAGGAGTATGTGGGTGTTGTTGATGAAGGATCGTACATGCATGCGGGCAGCTAACAATGCAGAGAACCTTGTAACAACCATGCTCATACTGCATGATGATGATGACTATGTTCATGTTCTTGATCGGTTTGATGATGTTGGTGTTCGCTTGGAGGTGTTTCTCTTGAGGCGAGGTAAATGATGCGAGATCCGAGGAGGTTCAAGTTATCTATGATCCCGAAAACCCCAAGATAGAGAAGGAGAAAGATTTCGACATTGTTGCATTTAGGAAAGCAGTGAGACATCATGCAGTGGTGAAAGGGTTTGAATTTGGTAAAATCATTACAGATAAGACTAGGTTTATTACTACGTGTAAAGCTGAAGGGTGTCCTTGGCGTATACATGCTTCAAGGATCTTTGATGGCAAGACAATAGAGCTAAATTGAAGTTATGACATCTCTTTTATTTTGTTATCAGTTTTCCACCTTATAATTTAACAATTTTTTGTCTGTGTGTGCAGATCAAAAACTATGTGCAGAACATAAATGTGCTACTACTAAACTCCAAGAAATCAAAAGGGCAACCTAAGGCTGGGCTGTAGAAAGGTTAGAGGATTGGTTGAAGAGGCATCCTACTAAGACTCCAACAGATTGCAAGGACAAATTAGAGGGTGACTATGGTATCAAGCTCAAGTACTCCAAAGCATGGTCTGGCATGAAGGTAGCACCAACCATTATTGGGTAGAGGACCAGGGAGGCCAAAGGTGCAAAGGATTAGAGGATGCATGGAGAAAAGGGCTACCAAGAAAAATGTGAGATGCAAAAGATGTGGAGGACTTGACCACTTTCAAAAAAGCTGCAAAGAGCCAGGGGTTGGTCAAGACGGTGAAAGAGGTCCATGCAGGAACCATTGCAGAAAGAGGACCATAGAAGATGATGCAGGTACCTCACAACCACAGGTGAACAAAAAGAAGAAAAAGAAGACAACCACAGCCAAGAAAAAAACACCTGTGAAGAAGCTAAAAAGGGCAAAGGCAAACCCACCTTCCACTGCTGTGACTAGTATCACAAAGCTTGTCTTCGATCCATAGTCTACTTGACAAGGCTCAAAATGTTCTATGATGCTTTTGGCAAAAAAAACTTGTAATGTCATGTAATGCTTTTGGGCACAAAAACTTCTCTGTGCCTCTGATCATTTTGGGCACATGAACTTGTAATGGTAGTCTATGCTGTTAATGGCCTCGAAACACTATGTAGTGAATGCTGATGGCCTAGGTAATACTTCTGTGAGATGCACTTGACTGATGGCATCAAACACTTATCTAATATATTTATGTGAACTGGTCTATGTTAAATTAGGCATTATTTCTAGGGTTTATTTCTGTGATAGTTCGCATGTTGCTTGTTCATTTATTGTAGTGTAAACCAGAACCTGAGGTCTATGGCAACTGGAATGCTCCTGAAGCAGTTACAACAGCTGCTGTCATATACTGCCTACGGTGCTTGGTGGATGTTGATATACCGCTAAATCAAGGCTGCCTAGCGCTTGTGAAGATCCTCATTCCTAAAGGCTCTTTCCTCTCACCAAGTGACAAGGCTGTTGTTGTTGGTGGCAATGTGCTAACGTCTCAGAGAGTGACTGATGTTATCCTAATGGCGTTTCAAGCCTGTGCCTGCTCTCAGGGCTGCATGAACAATTTGACCTTTGGGAACGCCTTTGGTTACTATGAGACCATTGGAGGTGGATGTGGAGCTGGGCCAACCTAGGATGGCACTAGTTCAATGTCACATGACAAACACAAGGATGATTGACCCTGAGATCTTTGAGCAGCAGTACCCTGTTCTTTTGCACACATTTAGCATCAGGAAGAACAGTGAAGGTTCTAGATAGTTGGCATGCTGCTTGTTCATTTATTGCAGTGTTAAGTTTCGACAAACATGCTGTAGAAACTTGTTCATAAATTATAAACAAACATAGCTCCAAGTACAGACCAAATGCTTACATTACCCACTCATCATGAGAGTGCACAAAAGCTACTTAAATTCTAAGCTAACACTATCTAACACAGGCTACATTACATGAGAATTCATTTGATCCATACAATAGCCACCAGGACAGTTACAAAGATTGCCAAGAAAACAACAGCTGCATTGTCCAAGACAATTGGACTCTTTTCCTTCTTAACCTTATCTTTCAGTTCTTTCACTTCAGTCTTCAGGCTACCAATCTCCAATTTGATGTCACTGAGCAGCAACTTCAAATCAAGTGCCACCATCTCGAACCCTCCAACAGTAGTAGCAGCTGGCTACTGGACAACTTGAACAACACCAGCTGGATTGTGCCTTGAAACAAAAGAACTCTCCAATAGATTGGCAGGATTATTGCGCAAATAGAGCTCATATGCATCCTCAAACCACCATTTACCACACCTATTTGAGCACATGTAGTAGAAATTGTCGTTCTTGCTCTTGCACTTGACGACGGGCACCAAGCATTAGGGGCAGTCCACGAGAGGGAGAGTCCTCCCCTGCTGTGACGAGCTGGAAGCCGTGGTGGCCATGGGCAAACGGCAGCGGCGGCTGGGCACAGCGGCGGAGCCGGCGGCTGCAGCACCTAACCCTAGCAGACGGGAAGGGAGGAGGCGAACATAGCGCGGCGAGGAGGACGAACAGAGCGCGGCGAGGAGGAAAGAGAGAGCCGACGCCTGGTGAGCCTTATCCAATTGACCCGAGGGCATGGACGTCCATACGGAAATAGTGAGGCAGTGTACACATCTGCAGTGGCTCCAAGACGTCGCTGAGCGTATTCCATGGCGTTGGTCCGAATATCGCACAATTGTAATGGTATGGTTTGAATTAGTCGAATTATAACGGTATATCTCCGATAACCGAAAATTGTAATGTTGCAATAAAAAAAAACCATCTTCAACCTCCGCGCGATCCCTCAGGCGGACGAGCGGTCGCCGATCGGTACTCGAGCTCCAGGGCGGCGGGACCAGGGTAGGGGTTCCAACCGGAGGGGAAGTACCTTGCCCTTAATAGGTCGGTCCGCCAATGGTTCCGGCCGCCTAGAACCGGAGCTCCCAAATAAATCGATCCATCGGTCGTTGTGCCGACACGGCAATGGAAGCCCACGCCTCGCGGGGCCGTCGCACCGTACGCCCCCTTCTCGTTTCTCCTTATTTCGACCCTTTTTCAAATGAGATGGCGCGCAGATCCGTCTGCCCGCTAGTTCCAGCTTCTGAGATCTGATACCCGAGGTCCCAATTATGCCATCTTGTGCGCGTGTTTTTGGTAGCTGGAGGAGATCCGGCAGAAGAGAGCCGCCGAGAGGATGCAGCACGCCCTCCCGATCGCGGCGTCTCACGTCGATTCTCACGGTTGGTACATGCACATCCTTGTCTCCACCCCTGTACATCCTTGTCTCCACCCCTCACTCGATGACTCTTCGTTGTGATGTCCTCTTAATTTGCTTTACTTTGATGCTAACTTTGTGCTGTATTTTCCTTCCCTGTATGTCTCTACCAATGCTGATGATCTTTAGGGAACCAAAGAGCCGGAGCTGAGGTCAGTTTAGCATTCTATATCGTTCACGTCTTCACGAGCACTCGATCGTTGATAAATTGCTTTCTGGTTGCAAATATAAGCCCCTGGTGTTTTCCAGAGAGTAACCAAGCATTTTTGTATGAATGCTAGCTTCTTGCTCGAGTTCAAGAACTAGAAAATGGGAACACGGAATTGGAGATGGAAAACAAAATTTTCTTGTCCAAGGTACTTTGTATGCAATTTGGTTTGATTGTGTAGTTACTCGGAGGTTCTGACTTTGATTGTCTTTGCTAGATTGCTGAGAAGGAAATTGAGAAGGATGCCCTTGTAAACCGTTTGAATGATCTCGTGAGTCAAGACTATATTGTTATTGGTGCTGAGCTCTGGGTGTTTGTTGTCTTTTAATTATTATTTTTTGGCTTCATGTGTTTTCTCTGCAGGAGTGGAATGTAGTGCCCTCTTTGAAAAAAACTTTGAATGACATTTCTTTGGAGAAAGATGCTGCTGTAGTTGCTAAGGTATTAAACACTTGTTTTTTGTTGCATTTGTGCTATCATGTGTCTGATGGTCTAATTATGCATGCCTTCTCATTTTGTCTTTTGCCTGGTATGCTGGGTAGGAGGATGCTCTAGCTCAACTCAGGAGCATGAAGAAACGGCTCAAGGAAGCAGAAGAAGAACAGTATAGGGTATTTATTGAAAGATGTTCCTTATTAGCGGTATGATCACTTTGCTAATCTTGAAATGTACAGGCAGAAGAAGACTCGGCCTCGTTGAGAGCACAGCTAAATACCCTGCAGCAGCAAGTAATGGGACACTCTTACAGTGGATATACAATGGGAACATCGAGTGAGGAATCTGTTGCCATGGAAAAGGAGATACAAGATTTACAGGCACAGCTAAAGGTAAGGTTTATTCAAAAAAAAATCTGCCCGTTTTATCTTATTTCACGCTTCTCTAATCATTACATCTAAACTAACAACACAGCATGAGTCACTGCTAAGGCAACAGGAGCAACAAAAATTGGCTGAAGAGTCCCAGCTGAGGCAACAAGAGCAAGAAAAACTAGCCAAAGAGCAAACCCGTGTTGCTTCTCTGGAGGCTGAAAAGCAACAATTGGAAGACCAAATTACTATGTTGACAAAGAAAGCTACAGGTATGGAGGATACATATACTTATGTTATTCTGCCTTTTATAATGTGAGGAAGAACTGATGGGATAAGTCTCTGTGGTCATTGTGGGGCTGCAGCAGTCTTTGTGGGGCTGGTCTTGCTGCCTAGCATCTTGACTGGACAGCAGCATCTTGACTGGACAGGGACTGGACAGCAGCACTGCCCAGCATCTTGACTGGACAGCAGCTTAGACAACATCTTAGGACAGCATCTTAGAGGCATCTTAGGACAGCATCTTAGAGGACAACATATTAGCATCTTAGACTAGCATCTTGGCATATGCTTGGCTGGCTAGCAGTCTATAAATATGTATCCCCAACCCCTCAGATTGGCATGGCATTTGTGTGAGTTTGTGTGAGAAATAAACCAGAAAATTGCCCCAACTCCTAGTGTCATCCTCTCTCGATGAGAGTAAGAATTCTGCTACTACCGAGAGTGAGAGTTTAACGACTAACAACTGGTATCCGAGCCAGTACTATCCTCAGGCTCTGAGCATCTCCTGCTCATCTCCCTCCCAAATTCACAACAGCCCAAATTGTTGGCGCAGCAACTCCTCCCGGCCGCCCTGCTCCTCTCCTCTCCTTCAGACAGACGAAAAGCGGCAAGCTCGTCTGCAGCCCTCTCCCCACGCAGCAGCCCCCCGGTAGCGCGTCATGTCCGTCAAAGGCGATCTCGGCCTTCGGTCGCCTCGAGCCTGTGGCGTCGGCGGAGGCCGAACTTGCCGCAGCGGAACGCGAACGCCAGCGGCGGCGAACAGACGGCTGGCGGCGCAGCAAGCGCCGAGGTCGGCGGCAATGCGGAGGCGGCAAAAGCAGCAGCGAGCGAGGCGGAAGCAATGGCGGCGGCGAATCACAATAAGCTTGTGGCGGCAATGAGGTCGAGGTTTCACGCGGCGATCGGCAGCTCCATTTCGCGGCGACACCGTTGACGCGACCTCGAGCTGCTAGAGAGGAGGCAACAGCGCGAAGGCTGGCGGCGCGATGGGCAGCCGCGACGCCACGAAGCGTGGCGGCAGCCGAACAGCGCGCGCGACGCTGCTGGCGGCGCTCTGGAGGAGGCGCGCGCATGGCGGTGGCGCTCTGGGCAGCCGCGCCGCGCCGCACGCGCGCAGCGGCAGCCTGACAGGCGCGGACGCGCGGCGGCGCTCTGGTGGAGGCGCGCACGGCGGCGGCGCACCTGGAGGAGACGCGCACGGCGGCGGCGCTCCTGGAGGAGGCGTACACGACAACAGTGGCGGACGGGTTGATGGAGAGCGCGGCCTTCCACGAGCGCGTGGCTCTCTCCGGATCGGTACCGACGGGTCGATGGAGAGCACGGCCTTCACAGTGCGCGGCGTGGCTCTCTCCCCGGATCGGTACCGTGGTTACCACGTGCTCTAGGGTCGTTGTCGTGGACGCCGATCCCGGCGGTGGGTGGCCTACCCTCACCAAGACCAACTACGCCGAGTGGGCGCGGTGATGAGGGTAAAGCTCAGGTCGCGGCACATGTGGGAGGCGATTCGATGCGTCGGCGTCAACTACGACCTAGATCGACGGGCGCCGAATGCCCTCATCGCCGCAGATCCCGCCGAGATGCGCTTCGCTTACCAACAAGCGGATCGCCAAGGAGGCTTGGGACGCCATCAACTGCGGCAGACGCATTGCGCGACCGTGCCCCAAAGTCCACACCGCAGCACTTCGCAGGAGTGGGAGAACACGCCTTCAAGCCGGTGAGGACGTTGATGACTTTGCTCTCCGTCTCAACACTCGCTGCGTAAGATGGTGCGATTCGGCGATGACACACCCACGGGCGAGGAGAGGCGCCGAAAAGCTCTTTCAAGCTGCGTCCCGAGAAGTACAAGCGATGGCTCGCTTCGATCGAGTCCTCGCTGGATCTCTCACGATGTCGATCGAGGAGGCGATAGGTCGCCTCAAGGTCGTCGACAACGATGAGCCACGATCTCTCTCGGGGCCCATCACCATCGGCGGAAGCTCCTTCTCACTCGGGAGCGGTGGCTTGCCGCCAAGGTGACCGGAGAAGGGGAGCCTTCTTCCGCGACAGGTGATCGCAG